GTATTTGATGCCAAAACGATATCTAAATCGTTTTCTGTTTCATGAAAGATTTCAATATTGTTATGTTAGTGTAATTTTCGTACTAAAACGACTTCTATATCGTTTTGTGTCTCAGGAACAATTTCACTATCATTTTTTGAATGAGTGCATTTTTGTAATGGAACAACATTTACATCAATTTGACGATGCAAACATCATTTGCCTTTAATTTGGCAAAAAAAAAAAAACACGAAATCGTGTAATGACTTTAATTCCATTCCAGTAGTACAAAAAGGTTTTAATGGCACAATGAAAAAATTTAACAAATCATTTTGTCCTTCGAATATGTACAAAATCATAAAACTACAAGTTACAGCAATATTACAACCTTAAGTTTCAATACCAACTGCTTGGCCTGTGCAAGTGGATCAGCTTGGCTTGTGCAAGTGGATTTGACATGACCATTGTATTTTCCAACTTCGAAAATATGACTTTCTACGATCTTGGTTGCTCGCAAGCGCCACCTGCAATTTTTATCAATACAAATAATTGTATACGTGCTATTATTTAACTTCTTAACTTTGTATTCAAAGTGACACTCCATAGCCAGCAACTGCAATTTGGATATTAGATCATATTTTGATAGAAACAACTGGTTGACTTGCACATCTTCATTTTTCGAAATTCTCACTGATGTTTCACAACGGAGCGAACTTATACTTACAGCTACAATCTGACTACAGGTTNACAAATAATTGTATACGTGCTATTATTTAACTTCTTAACTTTGTATTCAAAGTGACACTCCATAGCCAGCAACTGCAATTTGGATATTAGATCATATTTTGATAGAAACAACTGGTTGACTTGCACATCTTCATTTTTCGAAATTCTCACTGATGTTTCACAACGGAGCGAACTTATACTTACAGATACAATCTGACTACAGGTTCATTCATGTGTAACTCCACATCATTTTCGTCTGGTACAGGAGAATTATCTTCGCCATCTACTCTTAGGGGACTCATTTAAGTCAAAACCATTACAATCTATAAATATTTCATCACCATTATCATGGTTACCATCGTTGCATATTCGAACATGTTCCTCTTCGCTGTTCATATTTGCAATTTGTTCTCCATCATCTATTAGTAATAAACGTCCTAATCACCAAACTCTTCTTGATTGTCAACAACTTCATTCGAAAGGGTTACACAAAGAAGAGTTTCTCTACAGACAGATACAAACCACTTCACATTGTTGTCACAATCAATGATGGTCGGAGTAGCTGGACCTGTAGACATTATAAGGACGAGAGTTGAAATCTCTATTTTGTATAGCTTTGTATCGACATTCAACACTTCTTTGACTTTATCATACAATTCCACATAAGAAATTGTTTTTGCAACAAGAACAGGCGTTGTTTTTCATTTATCATTCCCTGCATATTTTCATTTTCATGCACCTTCAACTGACATACTCGTATTCAACTGGATAATAAACTGATATCCATACCATATCCCGGTGTCCATAACTGTAATTTAATGTAAAATTTTCATCTAATTTTAAACATCTTACAATACTGATAACGA